AAAAAAAAAAAAAAAAAAATGCACAATTTTTAAGGGTGGCACAATATGCGCAGTAGGTAACTAATTGGTAGACATTTTATCAGAAAGTAGAGAAATTAAAGAAATAAGAATAGCAAACAGAATTATAAATTAAAATAAGCAACAAAATTAAGACGATTAAAAACAAATAAACTAAAACAAAACAAATGTAAATTACCTAGGTACATAAAATAAAAACATAAAAAAATACTTAGTACATAATATTATAAAAATCTACGCATTATCACTCACTTACTCATCATCACTCAACAATCCCACTACAGGCTTTTTTAAATGTGGTAGGTAATGTGTCAACAAAAATTATTCGCCCGGTAATTATTTATTTGCAACATGTTTGGGAATTAGGGCGAACCTCAGCAAAAATAAATTTCATTACCTTTTTAGGACATTACTATATTAAAAAAAAATCCACAATCACACTGCCGTCAAATACGTAACATAATGATTTATTTTTTGTTTATAAACATAATAAAAAACATAAACATAAAAATATGTTTCTAATAAACTCTTCTAATGTCTAGTCCACTAATCAGACGCGTTCGTTTAACATAGAGGAAAGTGACCAAATATGGAATAGTATCCTTAATATGGAATACCGGCAATACTAAGAAACTATAATTCACACACGCAAGAAACACTGTTTGTCTCTTTGTTTCTATCCCCATCTGCGGGTACAGGCTGTGACATATCAGTCGAGTGAGCCCTTTCGTCAATATTGCAGTGTTTTGTTTTGCCGCTTCTGCATAACTTTCTAACGTATGTAAAACATACGCATTTTTCGTTTAAAAAGTGCACATCGTATTGTTTTTATAACTTTTAGAGACAGTTTAGATGTTCTTTTGTCGATTTCGGTGGTGTTTATTTATATTTATTTCTTAAACATAAAAATATTAATGTCAGTTTAAAGTCGTTGCAGAATCCAATTAGGGAATGGTCCATTATTTTGTTTGACACAGACGGTAAGCCCGATGCTTTGATAGGAAATACAACTCCAGACTCTGAAGATTCGGAGTGTATTTTCTGTGGTATTCTGTTTTCAAATGATATTCATAGAGAAACATGGGTCAAGTGCCTCATACGTGGACTCTGGGCACATATTGATTGCCCCGGAGCAGAGACTGGATTTGTGACTTTTGCAAATACGTTGTGTTCTTTTCTATGTTGAACCAACCTTTCTAAAGAGTTTTATGTAAGTTCCGGTTTAGTTTTAATATTTGGGGTACCTATTCCAAATTTAGGTACCATTATTGTCATTTAGTTTTTTTTTTAACTCAGAAGTAATAAAAGTATGCAATTCTTGTTATAAAATAAAGCGAAAATATATAATTATTGTAATTACCACAAAAAGTTTTATTATTTGCAACGTTTGTGAAAATTATGCGTAAGAAACAAAATGGTATTCCATATTTGGTCACTTTCCTCGATCCATACAGACGATACTTTAAAAAAAAATTGGTCATAATAAGTATTGCATCAAATATTAAATCGATTTGTCGTTAGGAAGTAGGTAAAATTCAAATGACTCTGATCCAAACAAACAAACTATACATAATCGATTAAAAATAATAAAAATATGTATACATAATATATAAAACTCACTTTTACAAGAATCGAGTGCTGAACTCCCGAAGTGCTGAATTAGGCTAGACTAAGACGTCTAGATTACAATGACTAAATGTGTACTCACACTACTCTGTATCAAAATGTTTGCGCACACACTGACCAATTCACTACAAAGAAGTAATATTATTGAAATATAAATCTTATATATTATTTATGAAGTCGAAATCCCATGTTCTTTAAACCGGTTGTTTTTATCTAGAATGTTTAAGCCACGCGCACTGGTATCGCAATATTTTGTCTAGATATATTCAAATTCATGGCCGTTTGCATAGGGACCTTGGAAGATTAGTTTTTTTAAAATTGTGATTAATTAGACCTACAAATGTTATCTTATTAGGAAACCAGTATTTTTGAACAAAAACTTACTAGAAATAAATCTTGAAATCTGGTTAAATCGATACATCTAGAGGTATACAGGTAAATGAAATTGGAGAGTCTCTTTGTTTATTAAAATAATCGCTTTTATATGAATATAATATATGCATATTATGATATTATGATAACATGCAGACCTGTCGCGGAGAACCTAACGGGTTACCGGGGCTCTGGCTCGAAGTGCAGGAGAAGGGACGGGGTGGTTTTTAGTCAGTAAGAGTCTGACACTCCCTCCCGCCTCACCCAGGCGTGAGCAGTCATTCGATGGTATTCCCCCTTAAAAAAATTGTTATCTATACATATTATTATCTACAGATATTATTACCTACTAGCAACCCGTCCCGGCTTCGCACGGGGTAGGCAATTTTTTTTTTCAAAGTGAAATGTAGCCTATGTCGAATTGGAAGAATGTAGCATTCTATTGGAGAAAGAATTTTTTAAATCGGCCCAGTAGTTACTTTTTGATCCTATTCATTACAACCATACAAAAATAGGTACAAATCTTTCCTCTTTATAATATTAGTATAGATACATACGATACACATACGAAAATAATATTTTTTTACAATTTTTTTTTGTACTGACTTATCTTTCAGTGAGCTAATATACTAAGGAGTAACATAGGCTATAAGTACCTACATTAATTTTGAAAAAGGAAAACAAAATAGAAAAGTTATGTCCTAAAATTACACCAGTCACACTTAGACATTGGTCATTAAAAAAAAAACATGCTTTGTTCTCATCACAGAGATTCTAGAAAAAGGTAATGAGGAAGAAACAAGAAGGAGAAAATACACTTATTATCGAATATTCAGAACGCCACCTTGATAATCTTGTCCTTGCACACCATAAAGTATTTCTTTGGCCAAAAGGCCGGTAACGCATTCGTAACGCCTCTGGTGTTCCGGGTGACCATGGGCGACGCCGATTGCTTACCATCAGGTGATCCGTCTGCTCGTTTACCGGCTTTTGCTATAAAAAAGCATTTAGTCCAAGAGACGCCGCGCTGCCCATATCTATAAGATAGCGACGATTTCTGAAAAATAATATGTATATTTAAAAATTAAACATTCTGTTCTAGAAAACGTATTTACATAAAACAGAATGTTAACATTGACATTATGTAGACGATGTTTTAATTTTAATTGCCCCGAGTTATAATACTTATGTACATTCTAAGATTATTGTCAGTGGTAACTAACCACTGACAAACGGTAAAGGGAAACATTATGAAGAAAACTAGTCTTACAATTTCTGATTATAAGTTTGAAATTGCTAACCCGCATTGAGCAAGCGTGGTGACTACTGCTCAAATCTTCCCCGGTTGATAAGAGGCCTTTGATCAGCAGTAGACACTTAGGTACGGCCTGTTGATGACAATGATTATGAAATAAAAACAAAACAAAAGGATAATCATGTTAATTCATTTATTCTACCGTTCCTAGGTCTAGCCTTAATATTATATCCATCAGCGCAGGACACGGAGATGGCGACGTTGAGCTTTATATTGTCAAGGTTCCCAGCTGGCTCCAACCTTGCGTACCGGAGCACCCACACCACTATCGTCTTGATGAGAGCTGTGGCGTATACTCGACCTGAACAGGAAAATTAACTATATTTTATTTTCTTTACCCTGACCTCTGTGTCTACCAGGGCATTATAAATTGAAGAAGCATATAAAAACACATAAGTAACCATTAACTTATTTCCCGCTTTTGTTTGCAGAAGAATGAGCTCTTAGCGTATGGACTCTTCCAAGACTTGAAACTAATCGAGCATCCTCGAATAATGTATGTAGTACATTATGAATCCCTTAACAAGAGGCGATCCCGTTTACTCATTAAGGCCTGACTTCATAAAATAGATATAAAAACTACAATTACCTAAACAGTCCATAGGTCCCAAACTGAAAGGTACGAAGGCGTTAGGGTCTCGTTTCTTCACGTTCTCCGGGAGAAACCTCTCCGGCATCACCCTGTGAGGATCCTCCCAAAAACGAGGGTCGCGATGGAGGTTGTGGATCGGTATCACCAGCGATGTGCCCACTGGGAGGGTTATACTACCTGGAAAATGAGAAAAAACTCTTGAAAAATGACTAGATTTCACGTGGGTCATACTTCGGTACGAAAGGGCCGTTTCGCCCGGAGTGATAGCACGGCCTCACAGTTTTATTCGACTAGCATTAATTTAACAATCTCAGACAGTCATATAAACTTAATTAATCAGGATTAACTAAAATCGCGGGTTACTCACGTGAATATACTGAGAAAAGCTCTACTAGTTTCGAACCACAGAGGGTGAGTAATCCGCGATTTTAGTTAACTTAGTATGTCTCACGATAGTTGTTATAAAAACTTAATTTATCAGGGTTTCCTCTTAGCTTTGTTGTTATAAAATTACTATGAAATGCTTTAAACATTTGAACTATACATCTTAATGAGATGAGAATAAAATACACTATTAGTTAATTTAAAAAAATGTGTTTACATCGACTGTTGTTTTTTTTTGCTAATTCGAAAAGTTATGTTATTATCAAGTATCTATAAACTATTCAAATTGTATAATGTGTTTTACATTATAGTTCGATAATTTCAAAGCCACTAATAACTTTATCAAATATGTAAAATTATACGTAATTATTATTATAATTATCATTTTATGGCATTTTTCCTTTTTTGATTTATTATTTGACATTGCTTTATTACGACAGTTTACTATGAATTTTGTACGAGATTGTGTATTTTTTTATTTTATTTTATATTTTATATTTAGTTGACATTGCTTTATAATAAAGCAATGTCGACTAAATATAAAATAATATATTGGCAGGCCTCGACCTAACACAAAATTGTGACATGTCGCACCACTTAGTTAGTAGCCCTCAAAAGCTGCGATTTCCTTCCTCGAGTGGCCCGCGTGAACACACCGCTAACGCCTACTCCCGCCAAATAAGGCAGCCTAGGGAGTCTCTAATTTAACTCGTCGGTCGAGTACCGTCATCATAGACACAATTATAGAACAATAGGTTGCGATCACCGGTGACCGCTTGGTGTTTGACAGTTTAAGTAGGTGCCTCGGTATCATGAATTCACACTACTTTAATAACAGCTACCGATGTTCGTAATAATTATGTTTTGTGATAGTGACGTAATTCAATAAAATAATGAAGATGACATTTTATTTTTACATCCGTTACGTATGTAGACTAATATTTTTTCTTTTTTTTAAGTTATGCAAAGGCATAATCGAATTTAAACTTGTTGTGATGATTTCAATTCGTTTTGGCCAAATAGTTTTATTTTTATTTAATTTATAAGCTTTTTCAACTTAACTAATGTCTGTGACCTTTTTTTGATTATCCTTTACCTAACGGACTAATTAGATGTTTAATTTATTACCGATTTTAAAAAGTAAGGTTTCTTACACAGCAGAAGGGGCTAATTAAAAATTTTTAAGCAAGAAACCTTTTTCTCCAATCACATGTCTATTATTTTTTTTTTTAAATCGTTGCCTTACACTAGGATTTTCTCCTGTATCGTGGGTGCGATTACAAACATACAATTTCACATACATATGTACACAGACCCGGAACAATAATCTGTGGATCACACAAAGATGATGTTCCGTGCGGGAATCCAACCGGCAACACGTTGCGCGGCAGCCAGTTTCGTAGCCACCGCAAACTGTGCAGTTAGTATTGATCGTCCAACGATGTGACACTAGCTAATGCCCTATTGGACGAAAAATGGGAGGTTCACACTAACGCCATCTACTAAGAAATAATACAGTAGGTACACCATTCTATGTAAAATGTATTTATGTAAGTATCTGTTATTTTTACTTTTCATAATCTTTGTTTGTGTGCCATTTGCCAAATAAATGCTTTTTCTTTCTTTCTTTCTTTTCTTTCATTCAATTATAGATAATTATGTGAGTTTTTTTAATCAGCCATCATCCCTATTGGATAAGCGTATCTTCCCCACTGAGGCCGTGGTATCATTCCAGCCAACTCATTCGTGCCGAAGCATGGCTCCCGTACTCCTAAAAGATATACGATGCGATGTCCTAACGAAAATTAAAAAAACAAAATATTGTCATACCGTCTTGAATAGTAATTTCTTCCACTACAGTCCTCTGTATCAGGGCAGCTATGGAGAAATACCGCAGTGTCTCCTTGTACACCATGTCCAGGTACTCCAGCTGCCTCAACTGCTCGTTCGTGACTGGACCGTCAGCTCCGACCACTTCCATCATCTCCTTGTACACTTTATCCTGCAAAATTGAATTTGTTTTATGTTCAAGGTCTAATATCAAAAATTATCTATGTTTAGAAGAAATTGTATAACTTCGCTCAAGTTATATTCGTGATAACTGAATAAAAATGAATCCCTGAAATGTATGTATGCATATAACTTCAGAACGACAGGACCAAATTTGATAATATCTTCATTTATGTGTTCGGTACTATCAGGAAAAGGTTTGTACGAAAAAATGCAACGGGGATGCGCGTACGTAGTCGCGGGCAACTGGTACCTAATATAATTTTTCTTCCATTATCCACAATAGTTCTACACTAACCGGGGACTGTCCTCGGATGCATTTGCTTAGTGCATACAGAGATAGTCGCCGGTTTGTGTGTCCATTACATTTAGATTAAAGTTGTCTAAAGGGCTTCTGCGCAGTTGGCTGCAGCCCCTCGTATGCCTCCCAAATGACCCTCTGGTCCCGTGAGTGATAAAGACATAATAATAATAATAATCCTGTATATGCAAACACAATACATTTTAAGTACCTAGTTCAGGACAAATAAAGATTTCTTCAAAAATATATTGTTCTAGGTACTTAATTAAGCCTTTAACTGCTAATAAAAACTGTTCGAGGATCCTTCAATAGCTTCGGTCCCCCCTTAGAAGAAAAAAAGGCGTCGGTCATCACTGTCCGACACGGTATTCAATGTGGCAATGTATTTAAAGTGTATGTGTGTATGTGTGTATAAGTTTTTAAATGTTTTTTTTTCTCCAGATACGTATCCAACAGGACTAAAAAAATTATCCAATTTCTTCAATTGGTCTTGGTCTGTCGATTGGTTGAAGTTATCCAGGTATAGGCATTTCATTCATTCATTTTGATTTTTATAAAATAGAATTTTGATGTTAGACAGTTATAAAAAGTTTATTATTATATTACGTCGCTGTCGACTGGCTTAATTACTTAACCCCTAATTAAACTCGTTAACAGCTCTACAAAAAATAGACATATTCTCACAAGTGTGAAATTTTTATATTCAAAAACATTAACTGCTTATACAAACACGGTGATACACGACATGGTAACACGGCATAATCGTTACTAATATTATAATATTCCTTACTACAATATTATAAATCGGAAAGTGAGTTTATTTGTTTGTTTGTTCCGCTTTCACGCTGTAACTACTAAACTGATTGCTTTGAATTTTTGCAGACGTAAAGTTAGAAGTCCGGATTAAATAATAGGGTACTTTTTATCCCGAAAAAATTTGATATTCCCGAGGGAAAACAAAAGTATTGGTATAAATGGCGCTGTGTGTATTGGTATATGTCACATAGGCTACTTTTTATCCTTTTGTGACGCGAGTGAAGCCGCGGGTAAAAGCTAGTTTTTATTAAATTGAAGCTGTATAAAATTTGCATTTAAAAAAATAACATGCATCTGTCCTTTTAGTTTGAGCGTGACGTCATTTGTTATTATTTTGCAGACCAGTCGAACAGCTTTCTGACTCGTTTGGTTACATAATTGAGTATTTACCTGGGTCAATAATAAATTATTTTGATTTTTCAATCCAATTAAATATTCAAAAATGATTACAATTTCATTCATATATTTGACGATACTAAATTTTCGATTGAGGACCTACTTAATTTTCGATTTATTCTATCAATTTTGCCGAAATAAGTGTGCTATTTGACTCGAAAATACGTATATGATGACGTCAGTTTTTGGTAACAGATGTGTTCACTGAATGTAATCAATACAATGATAATTAAACCGTCTCTGATACTGCAGTCATCGACACAACGACCTCTAGTCTCCGAGTTACAGAACAAAGAGTTTCTTTCACAATGACTTTATAAACATGGAAGGGCCTGGTTTGACGTTTTACCCATGTATCGAGTCAGCAGTCGCACTTGCAACCACTCGGCCAACGAGGCAGTCAAGTTAGGCAATAAAGTTGTGATGTTCGATATATTATTTAAATTAACGATTCATTACAATCTTGTCGGTGGGAGCCTACCTATGTGTTGATTTAGAACAATGATTAATTACTTTTAATGATATCATTGATATCTATAATTAAATATATTCAAATAGGTACTTAATAGGTACTTAAATTTTCATTATAGCCTGGCCAAGATTTTATCAGCAGACCATTTTATTATAATTTTTAATATCTAAAGTAAATTACAAATCGAGTAAGTTTTATACATTTTTAAAAAGAGTAACCAATGGAGTTTCTTACTCGTTCTTCTCTATTCGAATCTTCATTTTGAATTGACCACCTAGCTTAACCTAGCTACACTGACGGACTGACTAACAGACGATAATTTATTTTGTATTTCTTGACTTTTCAAAAATACGAAATTATGGTGACATAAATGCTTTTTCACATTATACAGATTTTTTTTTAAGGGCGTAAAATCATCGAATGACTGCTCCCGCCTGGGTGAGACGGGAGGGAGTGTCAGACTCTTACATGACTCCCCCATCTGTGGTGGTCTGATAGCTCTTTGAGGCGCGCGCGGAACGCGACGCGCCGTACGCTCGGGTCTGTTTCTGGTCGGACGGGGAGCCCATGCTCGCCGTCCGCAGGCCCGCGCTTACGGTGGCCGGAGATCGTCCCGCGATCCCCGACGCCCGGTGTGTCCTTCGCGATGGCTGGGTTGCGAGGAGGCAGCGCTTCGCTGCCTCACGCGTCCCGCCTCCTCCTTAGCTAGCATGACTGCTTCGCAAAAGGAGGAGACGGCATCCCA